GTGCGTTACTGGCTAAACAGTGTAATTTCTCCAGTGGTGTAGGGCGTAGACATCCCGTGATAATGCAGTATGCCTCATTAAGTGCCACATCCACTGTTTTATCGGGGTGCAATGTGTTCCACACTGGACATGCGTATTCAGCAGAAGAGTAGCAAAGCGCAAGGGCTGATGTCTTCACTGGTTGCGATCCCCAGGTTGTGCCAGTTAGCTTAAGTATGATATTATTTCTAGCACCAACTCTAGCATGTTTTAAATACTGATTTATATTTTAGTGTGAGTTTTTATGTATATCAATCCTTTTCCTCAGATGCACTATAATTACTATGGTCGTGCAAGTTGGCTGAACTGAATTTCAGCAAACCTGTGGATTTGTCTTCACAAGCCTCCTAAAAATGGCCAGAGTCCGAAAATCATTTTCAGGTCTGCAGCCAAAAAATGCAGGCAAATCCTGCCATTGGCAGCAATGGGAGACTTCCCAGCTAGTACTATTTGCTGGTACTATTCTTATTAATAATTATCTTTTGAAATTATTTTCTTCTAGGCAAAGCTACAACAAAACCCAAGCCTAACATTACTTTTAAGCACCAGACAAATTAAATAAAATATAATAAATAGAAGAAATGAAGAGCCAAGAGAGAGATATTTTAAGTAATATTTTTATTACATCAAGCAACAGAGATAACTTAATAAGATTTGCAAATGAAAGATATTTGGTTTGGTAGTAGGTACTTAGGTAGGTAGGTACTGGTAATGGATTTCCTGAAACCGAGGCTTTGCTTTTTGCTGGTACAATTCTTATTAGTAATCGTCTTTTGAAAGTATATTTCCTGATTGAGGTTGGAAATAGAGGAGAGAAGATGGGTTATGTTGTGTAGTTCTGTAGACAAAGCTTCAACAAAAGCCAAGGCTAATATTATTTTTAAGCACCAGCCAAATGAAATGAAATGTAACAAATAGAAGAAATAAATAGCAAAGGGGGAAATATTTTCACTAAATTCAACAACTGAGAGAACTTGACATTGCAAAGGAAAGAAATTATGTTTGGTATTGGTAGGTAGGTACTGGTAGTAGGTAGTGGTTTTTCTGAGACTGACACTTTGCTGTTTGCTGAAATTCTTATTAATAATACTCTTTCACAAGTATTTTCTGAAGGAGGGGAGGGAGGAGACAAAAATATATGGAGAGTAGACTGGATTATCCAAAAATCCATGGATAAGTGAAACGTTCTGAAACTTGATGGGCTAAGAGTGGTAAATGTGTTCTAGCATTGTAGCAAGTTTCACCCTAACAGGTGTAAAAATGAGGGAGAAAAGAGCCCATGAAGTTCCCCCATTTGCGTAAATATATAATGAAAAATTAATGAATTTCCTTTTCTCTCATTATAGTAATGACATTTTCAGTAACAACACTTTAGAAACACTTTAGAAACAAAATGCCAGTGGCCCTAGTTTTTTTAATTACTTTTGAAACATTGATCACACAGCCCTAGTGGCTACACCCTGAAGATGTCTAGACTGCCCAAGTTCTTTCACGGGCAGCAACTGGAATGACTTCAGCTTCCCTGAGAACATGACTAAACTGCGTGGAGACTGTGTGGGAGGGAAGGAGTTGACTCATCAAAACAGGGGCTTTCATGCATTCAACTGTTTCCAATATAGATAAAAAAACAATAAGGGTGAAAAAGGAAGCACATTCAATGAAAACACTCCTGCCCACACAAAAATGTGGGTTGCAGGTAATTCATCAGATCAACTCAGTAATAATTAATCCCTGTGTTTCCCTCTATGTTTTCATTGGAACAAACATGGCACTGGAGTGTGTGAAGATATTTTTGTTTTAGACCTATGGTGATCCTATCACAGGGTTTCCTTGTTCAGAAGAGGATGGCTTTCGACTTCCTCTGAGGCTGAGAGAGTGTGACTGACTAGTCCAAGTTCACCCGTTGGGTTTCATAGCTGAACCATCCCTCAAGAGAATTCCAAAAAGCAAATCTTGATTTTGCCATTTTATACAGTGAATAATATTTTACTACAGAATTAGATATATGGGCAGTCCCCATGTTATAAACATCCGACTAACAAATAGGAAGTGAAAGAAATCTACCCCTAAGAAGGGAAATTAATTCCTGAAAGAATAACTTCCATGGGGACAAAGTGTCTCTGCTGAAACGTTCTCACCAATCCTTGTTTCCACAAGCCAATTTTTTCAAAATTCAATTATCACAGGGACAGAAAGTACAGTGATTCTTCTGAACAGGGGCACAGACAGCCAAACAGACTCCTATGCTGTTTAAAACGTGTGTGTATGTGTGTCTGTGTGTATATACACACACAGTAGAGTCTTGCTTATCCAACCTTCTCTCATCCAACATTCTGTCTTATCTAACACAGTCTGGGGATTGATGCCTTGATTATCTTTTGCATTGCATATAAAATTGAAGAAGATCGCTCTTGTAGGTTTTTTTAATTCCTACAAAATCTGTGGATATGTGAAACATTCTGAAATTTGGTGGGCTAAGAGTGGTAAATGTGTTCTACCATTGTAGCAAGTTTCACCGAATAGTTTTAAAAGTGAGAGAGATAGGAGCCCCTGTAGTTTCCCCAATTATAGTAATTATGCACAATTACTATAACGAAATCGTAATGAAATTTCATTACTCTCATTACAGTAATGAATTTTCACTAACTATACTTTAAAGGTAAAGGTTTTCCCCTGACATTAAGTCCGGTCATGTCCAACTCTGGGTGTCGGTGTACATCTTGATTTCTAAGCTGAAGAGCCGGCGTTGTCTGTAGACACCTCCAAGGTCATGTGGCCAGCATGACTACATGGAGCGCTGTTACCTTCCTGCCATAGCGGTACCTATTGACATACTCACATTTGCATGTTTTCGAACTATACTTTAGAAACACTTTAGAAACGAAATGTTAGCACCCCGTAGTATTGTAATGACTTTTGAATCATATTTTTATGGATCACACATCCCTACCGTAGTATGAATGTAATAGCTACACTGTGGAATGAATGCCGTTGGACCTCACTTGAACTGCAAGGGTTCGATGCAGAAAATCCCGGGATGTGTAGTTTGGCAAGTCTACCCAGGTACTCATGTGGGGATGTCAGCTCCAGCTCCTACCAACATAGCAGTTCGAAAACATTCAGTTGTGAGTAGATCAATAGGTACTGCTCCAGCAGGAAAGGAACGGTGCTCCGTACAGTCATGCTGGCCACATGACCTTGGAGGTGTCTATGGACAACACAGACTCTTTGGCTTTAGAAGAGATGAGCACCACCCTGCAGAGGTGGACACAACTAGACTTAATGTCAGGGGAAAATCTTTACCTTAAAGAAGGACACGTGGATGCAAGTATGCAGTGGGCTCGGACTCCCATTGAGGTGGAGCCACACTGGAGAAATAATGTAATTCAATACCACTTTAATTGGCATGGATTTCAATGCTAGGGAATCATAGAATCAGAGAGTTGGAAGAGACCTCATGGGCCACCCAGTCCAACCCCCTGCCAAGAAGCAGGACAACTGCATTCAAAGCACCCCCGACAGATGGCCATCCAGTCTCTGCTTAAAAGCTTCCAAAGAAGGAGCCTCCACCACACTCCGGGGCAGAGAGTTCCACTGCTGAACGGCTCTCACAGTCAGGAAGTTCTTCCTCATGTTCAGACGGAATCTCCTCTCTTGTAGTTTGAAGCCATTGTTCCGCGTCCTAGTCTCCAGGGAAGCAGAAAACAAGCTTGCTCCCTCCTCCCTATAATAATAATAATAATAATAATAATAATAATCTTTATTTCTACCCCGCCACCATCTCCCCGATGGGGACTCGGAGCGGCTTACATGGGGCCAAGCCCGGACAACATAATACAGCAATAAAATCAAAGCATATACAACAGACAACAACAACATTATCAAAATGACATTAAAATAATAATAATAATAATAATAATAATAAACATTCCAACAGACACAATCACGATAGAGATGACAATGGGTGGGCTATATATTCCAAATAAAAATAATTAACAAACTATGATGAGATAAAATAGGAGCAGGATGTTTAAATGGACCTCATAAAACACATATAATAGTGAGACAGAACATCCTATTTGGAGGGCACAAACTCCTATGAGCACCGGGATTGTGGCGCAGCAGGCTGAGTGTCAGCTGCATTAAGATCACTCTGACCAAAAGGTCATGAGTTCGAAGCCAGCCCGGGTTGGAGTGGGTTTCCAACCAATTGAGTGTAGCCTGTTGTCAACCTTTGCAACCCGAAAGACAGTTGCATCTGTCAAGTAGGAAAACAAGGTACCACCTTAAAAGTGTGGGGAGGCTAAATTAACTGATTTATGAGGTCATAAAGAAGACTCCAGCAAAGCATTCCAGCGGGGAAGCATGCGGGGAATGCGGAAGTGCTTCATCAGCGTCGCAGATGGACGATGAAAGCGACAGCTCCCCTGGCGGCCAGAAAAAGTTAAATAGCCTCTGTCTATGTCTGTATATGTTGTATGTCAAAATTGGCATTGAATGTTTGCCATATATGTGTACACTGTAATCCGCCCTGAGTCCCCTGCGGGGTGAGAAGGGCAGAATATAAAAGTTGTAAATAAATAAATAAATAAATATGACTTCCTCTCACATATTTATACATGGCTATCATGTCTCCTCTCAGCCTTCTCTTCTGCAGGCTAAACATGCCCAGCTCTTTAAGCCGCTCCTCATAGGGGTTGCTCTCCAGACCCTTGATCATTTTAGTCACCCTCCTCTGGACACATTCCAGCTTGCCAATATCTCCCTTCAATTGTGATGCCCAGAATTGGACACCATATTCCAGGTGTGGTCTAACCAAGACAGAATAGAGGGGTAGCATTGCTTCCCTGGATCTAGACGCTAGACTCCTATTGATGCAGGAATCCTAGAAGTTGCAGTAAAGTGAGGCAATAGAGAAGGCCAAAGACTCCCATAAGTATTGAACCAGGCTGTGAAAGAGCATGAATGTAACAGTGAGTTCAATGGGGGGCCAAAGAGTGGCAGATTCGCCTCTGGAACTTTGGGCCAGAGGAGGAAGCCACGCCCCCTGTGGAAGCCACACCCTCTTTGGGCCAGCCTCCTCCTCCTCTCCCTCCCTCCCTTCAGCGCGGAGTCGCAGCTCTAGGAACAAAACAAAAAGCAAGTCCTCTCATCCTCGCCGTGGATTGGTCGTCAGGGCTGGGGAGCGCTCCCTCTCCTTCTCCCTCTCTCTCTCTCTCTCTCTCTCCCTCAGTCCCTGGCTGTGATTATTCCTCCTCCCGTCCCTCCTCCTCCGGCCTGGCGGGTTGGCGAGGCGACTTCGGGCCACTTTCCGCGTCTTTCTCCGGGCTCCTGCCTGCGCGCCATGGCCGGCCGCCCTTGGCTCCCTCTCCTCCCTCTCCTCCTCTTCTTGGCTTTGCCGCCCGGCCGGCCTTTCAACCTGGACGTGGAAAGCCCCGCCGTTTACTCCGGAGCGGAAGGCAGCTACTTCGGCTTCGCCGTGGATTTCTTCGCCCCGGATCGCGCCTCGTAAGTAGCGCTTCCAGAGACCGTCCGCACTGGAGGCTTGCTGCGGTTTCACGCCGCTTGGGACTGCCATGGCTCAAGACTAAGGGATGTTGGGAGTTGCATTCGTCATTGCATAAAGTCTTAAAAGAGTGGGTGGCTGTGAGTTTTCCAGGAGTCTGGCCATGTTCCAGAAGCATTCTCTCCTGACATTTTGCCCACATCTATGGCAGGCAGCCTCAGAGGTTGTGAGGTCTGTTGGAAACTAGGAAAATGGGATGTATATATCTGTGGGATAATGTGCAGGGTGGGAGAAAGAACTCTTGTCTGCTTGAGGCAAGTGTGAAGGCTGCAATTAATCACCTTGATTACTTCACTTCACTTCACTTTATTTTCTTAATAAAGCATTTATTGGCCTTGCAGCTTTAATGCCTGTCTGACTGCTGCCTGGGGGAATCCTTTGTTAGGAGGTATTAGCTGGCCCTGATTGATTCCTGCCTAGAATTTCCCTACTTTTTGAGTCTTGCTCTTTATTTACTGTTCTGGTTTTAGAATTTGTGTTGTCGAAGACTTTCATGGCTTTTCACTGGGTTGCTGTGAGTTTTCTAGGCTGTCTAGCCATGTTCCAGAAGCATTATCTCCTGACATTTCGCCCACATCTATGAAGTTGGTAGGTCTGTTGGAAACTAGGCAAGTGGGGTTTATATATCTGTGGAATAATGTCCAGGTGGGAGAATGAACTCTTGTCTGCTTAAGGTAAGTGTGAATGTTGCAACTGGCCACCTTGATTAACATTTAATGGCCTTGCAGCTTCAAAGCCAAGCTGCTTCCTGCCTGGGGGAATGGCATTCTCTCTTGACATTTCGCCTGTATCTATGGCAGGCATCCTCAGAGGTTGTGAGGTCTGTTGGAAACTAGGAAAATGAGAAGTATATATCTGTGCAGTGTCCAGGGTGGAAGAAAGAACTCTTGTCTGCTTGAGGCAAGAGTAAATGTTGCAATTGGCTACCTTGATTAGCACTGAATGGCTTTACAGCCTCAAAGACTGACTGCTTCCTGCCTGGGGAAATCCTTTGTCATACAAGAGTGCTGGTGTCTTGCCAGACGTAAAGATTCCAGGATTACATTGCAGTTAAAGTGGTGCCAAACAGCATTCATTCCACAGTGTAGACACATCCATATTAGAGGCTTTAAACGGTCCAGTTTCTTTTCTTTTTTTTCAGTTTTGGTGATGGGATGTTGGACCCAAGGCAAGTTTCACGGGAGGGAAGAAATTGGAAAGCTCACCTCCATTCTGAGATGTTGGAAAGAAGGAAGGAGAGGAGGAGGGAGCCTCCTTAAAATAAATGAATGGAGTTCAGTGTGAGTCTGGAAGAAGCGATTGGGGATGAAACACAAAGCCTCCCTTAAGAAAGAAGGCACAAAAAGTAGGTTCCTGTGACTTTTCCAGGCTATATGGCCATGTTCTAGAAGCATTCTCTCCTGACATTTCACCCACATCTATGGCAGGCATCCTCAGAGGTTGTGAGGTCTGTTGGAAACTAGGTTTTGAAGCTGCAAGGCCATTCAGCACTAATCAAGGTGACTAATGGCAGCATCCACATGTGCCTCTATCTGACAAGAGTTCTTTCTCCCACCCTGGACATTATTCCACAGATATATAAACCCCACTTGCCTAGTTTCCAACAGACCACACAACCTCTGAGGATGCTTGCCATAGATGTGGGTGAAATGTCAGGAGAGAATGCTTCTGGAACATGGCCAGACAGCCCAGAAGATTCACAGCAACCTAGTGATTCCAGCCATGGAAGCCTTTGAGAACACAAAGCACAAAAAGCCCTGCCATTAGGGTGCATCTACATTGTAGAATGAATACAGTTTGACACCACTTTAACTTCTCTGGCTTCATTCTATGGAATCCTGGGATTTGTAGTTTGACAAGGTCTTTA